CTTGGCGGGATTCGGATCCACACATGAACGCTGGCTGCGCTTTTGTACGGCTTATGCTCTACCAGCTGAGTTACGAGGCCACATCGACAATGCACTTGGTCGACCTGTGTTCACGCATGTTATGTGCATCCCATTAACTGTATCGCTGTTAAAGATTCCTGTTAAACTGCACCCGAACAAACCTGTGAACAAAAACATCACCGTATGGTTCGACTTCTTCCTTAAAAAACGAAGTGTTATTTGACCGATTCAAGCCTTGCGTTTGAATTGTGAAAATTTCAGTATACTCGGTGGGATTCGAACACAAGCATAGCCACCGTCTACGGGTGCAATCCCATTGAGTCTATTAAACTCTTCACGATTCAGTCGTAACAACTACGATCAAATTATCAATTCTGTTGATAGTGTTCATACAAGTGTCACCCCCAGTGTTTTTCAATCAAGGCTATTCTTTCCAAAAGTGCGACATCAGGTGACCTGATCAATATATTTGCCGCACGATGTACAACGTTTCTTGTTGGGAACAGCGTGGCAAACAATCTTGTTTCCAATTATTGGTATTCTGGCCATTGAATAACACGAAATATGACTAAGAACAAGAGGGAAATGAGAAATCGGAGTGCTAATGATTTAGCTCAGGCTCCGAAAGTGAGTAGATGTTTGAAATGGATCACCGTGTCAAAAGTTAAGGTGTGTGCACACTAGTTGGGGTGCACGAAGTTGCCTCGCACAAATTTCTTCTGGGCACACTAGGTGGGGTATAATGAATACGTTTTACGAATCAGGCAAACGAGAGCAGAATGGAGAAGACTCGGAGTCTGAATTATACGCTTGACTCAACTAATAAATCCTGTACATGAGCTGTAACAGAAAAGAAGAGGTTTATGTATTACGCAATAGGAAAAGGTGTATAAACAAGAGAACCAGAATACGACATCTACAGCTTCGACCCTGGCTAAAATACGATGGTTCACTGTTCTCGATTGCTTACATCGGACCGTGTAAATCGGTAGGATCGCACTGGCCACATCAACTCGATGAGACGCGAATACAACGCTTATTGTTCCTGTTCTCAGTCATGCTGGGTGGTGTTCACAAACGCGATCGGATAAATGCCTGGTCGCGCGACCAGTGTATCCAATCCTAACTAGTATGCAATCACTTGAACTTTGGACACTGTGATTATTTTCACATTCACACTTTCGAACCGGAGCTGAAATATTAGAACTTGAAATTCTCATTCCATTTTTGTTCTTGTTGTTATTCGTATTTGCTGGTAGATTAATGGCACAATTAGGAATAATTGAAAACGAGCTTGTTCACATTGTCTTCTGTGATTATTCAACCGTTTCTTGTTATCACGTAGACAGACTACCTAGACTAGTGTTTGTTTCTGCTATTGTTTCCCATACGGATATTCTGAGATACATGGTGGAAAGGTTTGCACTTCATCCATTGAATTTCTGATCAGAGAGGATGAATTGTTTCGATTGTTTCTCGGACACGAAGGGCCATTCAAAGAGATTCCTGTAAAGAACATTCTTCCTTACAGCTGAGTGGACGGAACCATCATACTAGCAAATAGGTTGTTCAGTTGTGAACCAGCTTGGGATTGAAAACGTGGCATTATTACCTTAGGTGACTTCTTCCAATGCA